TTGTGCAGTGCAACGTCTCTAAAACAGCTCCCGCTCCGTCACCGGCTCACTGAGTAGAATTTATTGGATCAAGGTTACCAGCTCTGATGGCTAACTGTTTTTTGGAAGCTAAAGATTTGTTTTAAATCAGTATCAGCACTTATTTAGGTGTTTTTCATGTAATAGCATATAAATGACTTGGTAAAGTATATTTTGTTTCATTAATTTATAAAAGGGGGCATCTTAAATGGACACGTTTGATTGTGTTAAAGGGATTGTTCAGCCTAAAATGAAACTTTTTTCATCATTTTCTCACCCTCATGTTGTTACAAACCTGTATGACTTTCTTTCTTCTCTAGAACACAACACAAAACAAAACAAAAAGTTTTTTTGAAGATTGTTGATAACCAAACAGTCTTGGTTACCATTGATTTCCATTGTATGGACACACTGAGACGTTCAAAATATCTTCTTTTGTTTTAATTTTCAGTTTACATTTTGCATGTTATATTTATATTTTATTTCCGGTTTATTTAAATAAATGAAAACTATTTGTACTTTTTTTTATGTTGCATAACAATACACTTGTTGTCAATGAATCACTGAAGGCCCCATTAGAGTGAATGAAATGTCTAAATTGTATTTATTTACTAAATACTTTGAGCTGAATCAGTTTATTGAAATTGTCACTATGGTGTTTAAATTGATGGCTAGATATTATGAAATATAAAAAAATGTTTGATAGCAGATAAAAATCAGAAGTTTACTGTTATTCACGGACCCAGGTGTCAGATCAGATATACTGTATGTTTATTAAAATAAGGAACCTATATAGTTCCTTATTTGTCCACGTGGTACAGAGTCCTTAAATGCATAGGCTTGGTGTCCAAAATAGTCTGTAGCTAGCTACTGAGAGGGCCCCCTGCCGTCGCTCGTCCCTCTGTGCTCGCTGTTGCTCCACCATTGCCAGTAGACAGGCTTTAGTCCTCTAGAAAGCAAAGCTCATACCTCATCCTCCTCGCACGTGTTTCTGCAAGTGACTCTTGACTCTTTACCCCTCACATTGCCGCTTAGCTTTAATTGCATTTCAAATAAACACTGCATTAATCCCATCCTGCAGGGGAAAAACACATTGGTTTACTGTGTCACTATGCCACTGTGTTTTACATGTTTTTTAGAACAAAAAGGTGTCGAGATGGAGATTTTCTTCCCCTCTGCTTTTAGTTTGCACTCTTGGTTTGTGGGTGATTTAGTGTCATCTTCTCATGGTGCTATGTTGACACTTGAACGACTCTCTGTACGCTTGCATGTTGTCTGAAGCAGCGCTCTGCTTGTAGCTCTCTTGATCTTTGATAAATAGTGTGTACAACAGCCTGGCGGAGGCCCAAAGAGCAGTTATGTTTCTTCTGGTCAGACACTATAAAAAGAATGAACTATGTGTGTCAGCACAAACTAAAGAAAAACTAGTTTCAGTTTTAGTGATTAGTGGGCATAAACTTTTATGAAATTTGCTTTCGTTGTTCATAGCGTTGACTTCCTCATGTGACATTTAATTTCCTTAAACAGTATAAAAAAAAGATTCATCATATTAACAGTCCAAATAAAGCATTTTTGTTGAAATCTACCTAATTTTAAAGCCATGCTAAATTGGCTCATGCTTGTAGTTACAAATAAAAATTCACTCTTCATACCTAGAGCTCAATGTAGCCTAATTTTCTGACCACAGCATGATAGATGAGCCTAACTCACTAAGCAGTAACCATAGCATGCATTACAGCCTCCTTACACTTGCTTGTGTCAGGACCGAGGTGTTTTAAAGGGTATCAAGTGACCTTGTTTAAAATGCCTGACTTCCTTTCACAATTTGCATTCTTGTAAAGGGCTTCAGTAACCCAAAGCCTGCTTGGATTGGTTTCTCATTGGGCGGGCGAGAACCCCACTCTTGTACTTTTTGACAGAAATGAAGGGTAAAACTCATTGTAATAATAACAAGTCTGTTACTGTTAAGGTTACATGTAATGTGACATTTTGCAGGGCTGATTTAAAGGAATAGTTCACCTAATAATGAAAATTTTCTGAAAATGTACTTGCCTTAAAACCATCCGAGATGTAGATTGAACTCTCATTCTGATGGCACACATTCACTGCAGAGGATGTAATTCTACATTTCTCCAAATCTGTTCTGATGATGAAACAAACTCATCAACATCCTGGATGGCCTGAGGGTAATTTTCGTCAAATTAAATTTTTGGTTCAACTGTTGCTTTAAGAAAATTAGGAATCTACAAATAATCAGTCGATATTGTATATTTAATTGTGCATGCTCATTTCCCATATTTTTATTTTGAATACCTATGGCACCATCTAATGCTCACTTAAAGTTAATCTTTAAAAACTAATTATTTAATTAAACATTGTTAAATATAATATTTAACAAATGTATATCCATTATTCATATTGTATATTATAATGTTGTGATGCCTAAATTCATTTGTAGCATTTAAAACAATTTACTTTATTTTTCATTTTATTTTTATTTTATTTAGATTAAACATCAACTATTCACCATTTGACAATGAGACCATGAAATAAAATATTAACATCGATCATGAATCTTACATATCAATACATTATATAATACATTATAGACAATAAAAAAGCGGTATTTGGTATACATTAGTGAAAGGTCTTAAATTGCAGAACAAGCTAAATATCCACAAGGGAAGCTAAATAACTGACTCTTGGATGTCACATTTCATGAAGATTCTGACATGCAGAATAAATGAGGCAGAACATTTGTTCAGACAAGAAAAAAAACACAAAGACATTCTGCCTCCTATAGGTAGCACTGCTTACTCTCAGTACACTGGGCTCTGAGACACCCTTCAAATCCAGAAGCCTGGCATTTGACCAGCCAATAGGAAAGTCTCTAGAGACCTCAGTGCTCTCCATTCTCCAAGAGGTCACATCACAGTGGGTCGATGCAATATCTCCTCCAAGTCTTGGAAGACAACCTGTCTCCAGCTTACTGTGAGCAAACTCAGTTAAATGGTGTGACTGACAGGCAGGGAGCCCCTAAATGTAACTTCATTGGCCAATGTTACTATGTATTTTCAGTGGAAATGAAGGAATTAGCTGTAGCTTTCTCCTTGATTAAAAGCGGTATTTCTTACTGATAGTGTTGCTTTCGTCAACGAAAATTATGACTAAATATCGTCGTTGATTAGATCTGACTATGTAAGATCCTAAATGACAGATATCTTCTGTGAATGTAAGATGATATCACAATTTGGTTGCATTTTCATGTTCTCATGTTATTTATTAGGGATGGGAAGATTCCCCGATTCGCTCGGTGCATCGGCATAAAAAGTTAAAGATGCGATGCATCGGTTTAAAAATTGTGTATTGGCTACAAGTTGGCATTTATATCGCGATGCGTCGTTTCTAACATATTTGCATCGGTAAAAACTGATTTATTAATATATAATTACTAGTGGGTTCGCTATACTTTTATTGTTTAGAAAGTGACCAATAATCTGTGACCAATATTTTATATGTAGATGAGATGCACATCCCTATTATTTATGCATTTATGCCTTTATTTTTATGGATTTATTTATATTTATGAATTGTCTAAATAATTGTATTAATAAAATATATTATTTACAGGGATGCACAATATATTAGTTACTTCAGTTATCAACCAACATGATTGATACTGTAGATGTTCATACTGTACATTATAATTTTGTTATGGCCAAATTCACTTGTACCATTTAAAGCGATAGATTTTTTTTTTTTACCTTTACCACAATCTAATGCTCACTTAAAATTAATCTTTGAAATAATAATTTAATAACACTGTTAGGTTTAATCTTTAGCAAATCATATCCATTATTGTTACTGTAAATTATAATGTTGTAATGCCTAAATTCACTTGTATTTTTAATTTATTTAGACAAAATAGTCAAATTGTAATATCTGCCATTTATTGGTTATCGGTTATAACATGAAAATAATTATCAGCCACAATTTTAATATCGATGCATCCTTCCTTATTTGTACATTTCATAGAGTTCATATATTTATTATTAAATGCTCTGCTGATTGTCTGTTGTTGCCAAGTGTCATACATAAAATCTTTGAACTCCCATGGTACTTCATGCCTGTTTGATTGCTTATAATTATCCTGGTGCATGCACATCCTCAAACAAACAAATATATCGCAGTAATTAAGGCCTTCTGCAGTCCTCTTGAGTTTAGTTAGCGCTATTGTTATTTATATTTATTTCTTAATAGAGGGAAAGAACCTATGAGTCACCAGATCTCTTTGTTGGAATGAAAACTGTCCACAGCAGTTTTAAATTCCCACTTCTCACAGTACAGCAGTAATTTCCATTATTTCAGATTTATTACAAAAAAGCTGTAGTGTTGTTTTCACAAGAGCAAATTGTGCAAAGCAGGAACTGATGGCTGTTGAATGTAGCACATTGTTTCAGGCCCTGAGCGGAGCAAAGCAGTGCATTGTGCCACAGAGATATCGCCCTCTGATGAGCAGAACACATCACTCACACTGATGGCTTTCCTGTACCCAGCACATCTCAGCACCTCATGTTTGTGTGCTTTGATTGGTTCAATGTCACATAAATAAGTTCATCACAAAAAATGTATGGTTGTTATAGCTGTTAACCAGTATTTGTATTGGTAGCATCTAGCAAGTCTTTCAAGTGTTGGAATTTATGTAGCTTATTCATAGCTTGACAGGCTGTTGAGTCTTGTAGGTGGAATTTTTAGTGAATTTTGAGTAATTATCTTTGAAATATTTAAATTGAGGTATATATTTTCAGCAATTTTGTTGAAATTATTAAATTGTGTTAAACGTTTATTTATATAGGCCACCTTGCTCCATGCCCATATTGGCTGACCACTGCATTTGACTCCCATTTAAAGACCCGAACCCTGAACAAGTAACCAGTAACTGAATCCCTCTCCTCTTTCTCTCTCTCTCTCCTTCTGTCTAGATAAACGAGTTGAGCCATGTTCAGATCCCCATCATGCTTATGCCTGATGACTTCAAAGCCTACTCGAAGATTAAGGTAGACAACCACCTTTTCAACAAGTGAGTGCCTCTCAAAGTTTTCCCCTTTCTCAACTGTTTTGATTCATCATATTTTAATCTTTTAATCTTATTAGAGGGGTGAACCTTATGAAGCCTGTCAAGAACATTTCTGAATCATGTTTAAAAAAAAAAAAAAATTTCAGTACAACACATACCATGACGTATTATTTATTATTAATAAATAATGTTTATACATATTAATAAAAAAAATATTTGTAGGTCACAGTAGCGTTTAATTTAAACAAAGTTTAGATTTTATTTCAAACAAAAAAGCAAAAATATGTAACTGAGACTTTCTTTGTGTGATTCACCCAGACAACTCTCAAGATGTTTCTTGATTTTTCTCCCCCCCTTTTCTTCTTTGCTTTTCAGAGAGAATATGCCAAGCCATTTTAAGTTTAAAGAGTATTGCCCTCTTGTTTTCCGTACTTTGAGAGAGAGGTTCAGCATCGATGACCAGGACTTCCAGGTAGGCTTTGTGAAAGAGAGAGAAATGCTCCATGGTGTCACAGATTCTGATGCTTCAAGCTTTATATAGACCGTTTCATCAGGCGCACGTGCCTGGCCCAGCCCGAAGTTAACTCTGTGTTTGTTTATCAGTCTGGCTATGGCACCAGCTACAAACGCAGTTAAAGTTAAGGTGATGAGTAGACTGAAGTTGGGCTCAGGTGGTTGTGCTGTGGGATGTGTTTCCCATACATTTATTTATTTGTGGCACTCGCCACACACATTTCATTTTTGGGTGAACTAACCCTTGAAGTTAAAAGTAAAAAATGTTGGTAGGTCACAGTAGCATTTAATTTAAACCAAGTTTAGTCTTAAAGCAAAAAAGCATGGTAAATATTTAACTGACAGACTTTTCTTTGTGCGATTTAACCAGACAACTCTTGAGATGTTTCTTCACTTTTCTTCTTTTTCTTCTTTGCTTTTCAGAGAGAATATGCCAAGCCATTTTAAGTTTAAAGAGTATTGCCCTCTTGTTTTCCGTAATTTGAGAGAGAGGTTCAGCATCGATGACCAGGACTTCCAGGTAGGCTTTGTGAAAGAGAGAGAAATGCTCCATGGTGTCACATTCAGTGTCTTAAAACCACAGCATATTACTGCAGTTGAACCACACAAAACACCAGTGTACTCACTACTAAACAATTCAAAATAGATTCAAGTCTCTGTGAGAAAAGCCCATGATTACCAAGAGGTAATTTAGTCATTAACCACTCAATTTGCTGTCGAAATGAAGACCATTATTCCCCATAATAACACAGTAATGTCGGAGTTGTCCTTGTATCCTTCAGCCTCCCACATACAAATGTTCTTAATTGCCCTCATATTCCTTTCCTTATATCTCTTTCATGGAAGAAAATACCTTTTTTAGCAAGCATAGTCGCAATCAGTGTGCATTAGTTGGAAATGCTTTTCTCAACATTTCTTATTTTGGTTAGTGAGGAAATTATGCCTTCGCTCCTCACTGTAATCAGAAAGAGCTCTGGGTCTTGGTTAGAGCTCCTTGTCTGCTTATGTGGGTTTAAAAGGCATTACGTTATGACTGTAACCCTGACACATGCGCAAAAAACATCAGCTTCCCAGAATGTGCTGCTTATTTTATGGTCTTGATTAGAGACGTTAATTATGAACTGTTTACTGGAGGTTAACTGTTGTCTAAGTTTCCTATGTTATACATTAGAGAAGAATGAAACCTTCATTGCACTAAGACAATCGTTTAAAGGTTTTGCAAATTTAGAAGTGTGCACAACTATGTATTTTCAAAATAGACTAGTCAGTGTTAAGGAAGCCCTAAGTCAGTGGTTCTCAACCAGGGGGCTGGTGTTCACTTGGAGGCCTCAGCAAACTTCCAAGGGAGCCGCAAGATGACTTAAAACACACACTGAAGTGCAACAGTCGGGTTCTGGAAGTAAAATCTTAATTCATTTTCTCTTTTTTTATTTTATTTTTTTTTCATTAACTTTAAGATTTTTTTTAGACCATCTGTTCGCGTTATTTCAAGTTAATTTTTAAAATAATCATGTTTAACTAGGGATGCTCCGATCAGGATTTTTGCAGCCGATACTGAGTAACGATTTCTTGTCATGGTGATCGGCCGATACCGATGCCGATTCTGATGCTTCTATATAGACATAGACCGTTTCATCAGGCGCACGTGCCTGGCCCAGCCCGAAGTTAACTCTGTGTTTGTTTATCAGTCTGGCTATGGCACCGGCTACAAACGCAGTGGCATTTATGTGCTGTGGGATGTGTTTCCCATACATTTATTTATTTGTGGCACTCGCCACAATATCAAAACTGACCGATTTTCCAAAAGGCTTCGTTGAATAAACATTAGCACGTACTGCACATTTAAAAATCAAAACGAGGCGCGTGGGTTTTTATATCACTGTATTTCTGAAGGAAGACTATCTTTAGAAAATTTTCGATGTCATTTTCATTTCATCTTTCATGTTATATACCTGATAAAGCAGAGTTTGTGAGCTCAGCGCTGCTTTGTGTACAGCTGTTACCGGGGAAATTTTTTTTCATGAGGCAGACGATTTCGCGCGCGTGTGTGTGTGTGTTCGTTCGCTCGCCTGATCGGGAAGTGGCAGTGACAGAAACGGTGACATTTCAAATAAAGTTTGAAAGGAGTAAAGCCTGTGTTAATGCTATTGAGTAGGCTAATATGGCCAAAGAAGATATTTTGTTTTATAAATAAACGTTCATTTAAAAGCAGCCCACGATCAGCGATACGGCTCAGACGAGGTTTTGTTCCGTCCTCCATGCTGTGCCAACTCACAAAAGACTATTTTTAGCCAAGCAGTGCGGAGAGCCGCTTCAGAAACATGCCGCGGCTGCAGTATAAACACAAGCACTGACTAGAGCGGCCGCGATCAGCTCCGGTTCCCGTGGAGCCGTAACGCGCCGCAGATGTGTGCAGTGAGGCACCGATCAGCTCTAACATCACTGAATCTGCTGTTAAAAATGAACCATCCATTCATCATCATGCAAAACATACACGACAAATAGCAAATTTTTCATTGTTTCTCGTCATAGCATTTCCACACCGGTGATGACATACCTGTGGCTTAAAATCATTTACGTCCCCACGCATCATGTACGTGGTCAGGCATTGACATCATCAAATTGCGATCGGTTCGTGAGATCGGCCAAATAGTGAGTACCGATTGAGTCATGAAATGTGATTATCGGCCGATACCGATCTCTGGCCGATCGATGGGAGCATCCCTATGTTTAACAGCAGAATTTGACTACTGAAGATTATATTCATTTTTAATTTGATTGTGTCATTCACACTGCTTCATGGGATTGTAGTTCGTTCCCTCACTAAAGACATTAAGTACACAGTCTTGTACCTTTGTATTTTTGCAATATTTAAAACAATTTTTGCTTTAAATAAAAAACTGTGTAATGCTGTGATTCACCTCGCAGCTGGCTTGCTTAGTTCATGGCTCATAATGCTTTAACAAAGACTTTTTAAAAATCCCTATGGGGAAAATGAATGGGGAAAAAAGCTTCCAGAACCAATGTTGGAATTTCCCCCTTAACAATTGTTGCTTGGAAAATGTGGATATATGAGGTAGCATCATTTTAAAACTGTAATTATTGGCACTATCAAAGTCATTTTTATAATGAGTATGGTTTTTTATAGTTATGCCATGCTTTAAAATATTTAATAAAATTTTATTGAAACTGAAAAAAGAAAAGAAAAAAAAAGGTTTTTTAAATCCTTATCCTTAATCCTTATGCAGTAATAAGAATTACTACTGGAAGAGTCATGGGGCCTTTGAATATGATTGTGGACAGTCAATAACAGCCATAAAAAAGGTTGAGAACCACTGCCCTATATAATTAGGCTAGTTTAGGACCACTTTTCATGTTGGTCATAAGTGGGCGGGACTTGGGACCAGACGTTATGCCACAAGTCAAATGTCTACCTGCATAATAACAAAGCTGTTTTGTAATACAGACCTAGTGTAAACCCGCTATGACTTCCTAGCGTTGTGGTTCCTCAGTCCACCCTGCATCCTCTGCCTCATCATCACTATTTTCAGCACATCTGGTCACACACTTCCCTGCGGAACGAGCTGTCAGCTGAACAGCTACAAGCCCTAACCCGCATGACTCAGCCTGGGAATCCTTTCGAAATTTCATATCCTGCTTTTGGTTTTGTGTTTAATGAGTATACTTGATGAATATAGTGAGTGTTTCAGTGAGGAAATCCAAGCACATAGATTTGAGGAAGAAAGAGGCACTGATACTCAGACAGAGGGAGGTGACAGGGAAATGTGTGGGTGTGTACATGTTTGAGGTAGCAGACCTTGGGAATGTATGTAGAGTGGTCTGAGCTGCTCTGTGCAGCTGTGTCCTTCACTCACCCTCACTGATCAGAGACCCTCCATTTCTTTCAAGTGCATCATGTATCCACCATGAGCTTTTTGAGTTTTTTTTTCTTTTTGAAACTGGGACAGACAATAGGGCAGACCCACTTCAGTCAGTGAGAGAAAACGGTTGGAAACTGCACAGTGTCTGTATGTCAGTGGTCATGTGTTTGTGGGCAGGGCAATTACAGTTGTGATTTGCAAACAAAATATTATCATCAGAAATTCACATACCCTTTTGCATGAGAGCCAGTGCTCAGTCAGTCATGAGTTCTGTGAACCTCTTTTAGAGCTAGAACTTCAGAACATTCAGATCCATTTTTACTAGTGACTTGACAGCCAAACCATGACATAACCGACTGTTACTGCTTAACCTGCCCACAAATAAACATGCATCAGTCTTAGTTTATTTTATTTGTATGTATTTTTTATTTATTTATTGCCTTGCTTAATCTTTTTTTTTTTCCACAAAATTATTAAGCAGCACAACTGTTTTCAACATTGATAATAATAAGAAATGTTTCTTGAGCACCAGTTTAGCATATTAGAATGATTTCTGCAGGATCATGTGACACTGAAAACTGGAGTAATGGTCAGCTTTGCCATCACAGGAATAATTTATATATTGAAATAGAAAACGGTTATTTTAAATTGTAATATTTTTGATCACATCAATGTAGCCTTGGTGAGCATTAGCAACTTGAAAAGTAGAACTTACTGACCCCAAACCTTTGAATAATATATTTGTAAATAAAATAATTTTATTTCAGATAAAATATATAGTGGCTCTGCAACACAACAGAAATGTTGCCCATCAACTGAATGAAGGAATCACATTGAATACTTTCAGTATTGATAGCTTCATTGATAGGAATTTTTTTTTTTTTTTGCATTGGCCTAGCCAAATTGAATATATTTGTAAAATAATTTTATTTCAGATAAAATATATAGTGGCTCTGCAACACAACAGAAATGTTGCCCATCAACTGAATGAAGGAATCACATTGAATACTTTCAGTATTGATAGCTTCATTGATAGGAATTTTTTTTTTTTTTTGCATTGGCCTAGCCAAATTGAGTTGTTTTTGTTTTGAAAAACTTTCTGGGGGTTTCATTTTTCATG